TAGAATTTCAAATTCTCCCAAAAAAGTAAGAATTTGAAATTTCTCGTATTTTTCTTCTTCTTATTTCACTTATATATTTTATCTTATCTCTTATCTCTTCATGTTTTTAATTATTGAATATTCAAAAATATTTTTAAAATTATTAAATATTATCTAATATTAATTTTTAAAATTATTAAATATTTAAAAATTAACTAGTATTTATTTTTATAAAATTTAATTTAAAAATTCTCAACATATAAATATATTTTTAAAATCAATTTTATCATGATGGAATTAAACTATCATATCCAACCTAATAATTTAAAATTTGATAAATTTGAATTGACCTATTACATTTATTGTATATTAATGTTGGGGTAGAGGGTGTCACAGTTTCCATCTTTCCCTTCAAGTTTTTCTTCTTTAATAAGAATTTTCATTGAAAACACCTTTTGACAAAGCAACATATAATTTACCATGACTAAAAACATGTTATGAAAAATAAATTTCAACATTGGATATTATTTGTTCTTGTGACTTATTTATGGTAATTACAAAACTTAGTTTCACAGGAAATTGCTTCCTAATAAGCAAAAAAGGGAAGTCCTGCACTCTCTGATGTTTTATGTTTAATCATTGGCATAAGAGTTCTCTTTCCAACATTATGACCTGTTAGGATTTCAACATTCAACATATTCACAAAGAATCCACAATATAGTAACTTTGTTTTAATAAAAAAATTTATTAAATTAATTAAATAAAAGTTAACTTGATTATTATACTAATTCATTGATAATGTTTTATATTAAAAGTAGAATGCGATATAGTTTATAACTAAATTATTATAGAGAAATAAACATTTCTTAAAAAAAATTGGATTGTGAAATATGATTAAAGAATTGTTAAATTAGTTAAATAATTATAAAATTTAAATAAAGAATTTGACCAATTTTAAAAAAAAATAGATATATTTAAATTTAAATATGACTAACCATGATTAATGTGATCACTATTTTTGATACTCGATCTTGCTTTATTGTCGTATATTCCTTGAAACTTTGATGAAGAAAAATTACAATGTGAATGTTTATATATAAAAAATATTAATTGAATAAAAAAGAAAAAATAGTCTTCATATATAAAGATAACTCATCATAAAAAAATGATAAATCTTAAACATATTTAAAGTTAAACATGACTAACCAAGATCAATCAACATATAAATATATTTTTAAAATCAATTTTATCATGATGGAATTAAACTATCATATCCAACCTAATAATTTAAAATTTGATAAATTTGAATTGACCTATCCAAATAAATTATTTTAAAAATGATAGAAATTAAAATCAAAATAATTTAAATATCAATAATTTAAAATTTTTTGAATTTGTAAAATTCCTCATTCAGGGATTCTTAACATATCGAATGAGTGCTGGATAATAATACGCTTTTGATGCATTATGTATATCAAGTGAATTGCTATGATGAATTGTCTGAACTAGAGTTTCTGTCTAGTAGTGTATTTTTCAGCTTCTAAATAAAAGAATGAGATATATAAATAATCTTGAGGAATTTCATTATATATATATATAAATTTAAAAACTTTGTTACACGCATGACCAATTCATTTAGTGTCTTAAATAATAATAATGATTCTTGTTGTTATTATTTTATGCGTATATATGTATTGTAAGTTGTTCCGGTATTAATTCAGGTTTATGATGTAATGTTGTAATGTTTTGATTTGATGAACGTGTGTATATTGTGCTTTGTGAATATTGCTAAGTCTATGTTTTAAAACTTTGCCATTTGTTAAAAATAAAAGGGTGTATTGGATTAAGATTTTAATAAATTTTAAAAGATTTTTATTATAAAAACTTGGTGGTATTCGATCAAAGTATTTTAAATATAAAAAAATTATGTAATATTTAATTGAGATAATTAAGATTTTAAGAGTCTATCAAAATTTGATAGTATTCAATAAAGATAATCAGATTTTTTTTTTGAGTCTGACAAAATTTAATGATATTCAATTAAGACTTTTTTACTTAAAAAAATTTGTTAATATTAAAAAAATACAGAGATTTCAATGAATTAATTTGAATAATAAATTTTGTGAGACTTTTTAATATAGTTTACATGTAATTTACTCATTAAACAATTTCATCAAAATCTTTGAGATTTCGCATGACTTTTTTCCTTTCTATTTCTACTTTTTTTTCTCTCAAATCTTTTCTCTCGCCTTTCTTGCTTTTGTCTCACATTCTTTTTTCTTTATCATTCTCTCGTCATTCTTGTTTCTCTCTCTTCTTTTTCTTCTCTATCTTATTTTCTCCTTTTCTTTTTATTCATCTCTTTTATTTATCTCTTCTTCTTCTTCTTTTAATATTCTTTTTTCTCCATCCTTCTCTTGCTTTTTTTTTTCTCTCTTTCTCTTTTGCTCTCTCGCTTACGCCATGCATCCTTAAAAAATATAATTGAATGAATATTTATTATTTTTAAATTATGTTTCAAAGGTTTTAAGTTAGGAA